TAAGTTCTGGATCTTTGGCATAGGTATTAATAATTTTAGAACTTACCCCACCTTCTGCTAACTTCACACGAAATTGTAACTGACGCGAACCACTGGCGACTATTTCATTTTCATAATCATTTTTCGGGCCTAAATCTAAATGATAAGCGAAAATATCCATAGCATCACCGATTTTAGCACAATATTTTGCCCTTTTCTCTATAGTGAGTTTTCCTTTTCTTTTATCTGATAAGAGAGCCTCTATTTACTCTTCACTAAATGAGCGCCTGTTATCAGTGCCTCTGGCAAGGGCAACTTTAATATACCTGCGGGCCATCCAATCAGAAAGTAAAGCATCAAGTTTGGAAGCATGTTCACTTAATTGTTTCGGGGTGGAGTCTGCCATCAGATTATGCTTTTCTAAGAACTGCTCTAAGGCCAATACAAAGTTATTGACTTTAGGTTTTCGGGTCTTTGGGGTAGCTGTTCTAGTAGCCATGCCAATAGTAAGTGTTATCTAGTTATATATTAATCTAGTTATTTTTTAATTTGAAAAAAATAATAATTTGGGATTTTATATTGCCTAATTGTAAAGAACCCTCTTATTCAAACACCTTAGTTATAAACCGGTTTCTTATTTGCTCTTTACCAAAGCATACCATTCTCCTGGAGTATGTTTATTGTTTTTTTCTATCCCTTATTGGTGTCGAACCTACCATAGGTAACCATTTTCTTGGAGTATGTTAATACCTTTTTGCCACTCCTTATCGTCATAAACATATGCTCAGGGTTTTCTAGCATCCTCGAGGTTACGGAGATATATTTCTTCACTTATTAGCCTTTCCTTTCTGGACATGTAAAATATCTTATTTACATCTATACCATCTTCTTTTGCAAATTCGATGGCATCTGCATCTGACATCATCCTGTCTCGATATTCCTGGGATAAACTAACGTCTTTTTCTGTGATAGTTACAAATACGTCTGGGTCCTCATCATGATTGGTAGCCTATTTCCTGAGACGTTGTTCTCGTTGGGCTCTAGCCAGAAATGTAGAAGCTTTTTTACTAGATTCGATAGATTCGGGTTTACCGATTACTGGCTCAGATGGTTCAGAAATCTTAGATGTTTCAGATGTTCCAGATGTTGAAGTGACTGGTTCTGCCACATAGTTGAAGAGAGCTTGGGTCGATTCGTCCTGTTTATCCGATTTCTTTTCTGGCTGGGTGGGATTATTTTTTGGGAAATAGTTTCTGGCACATTGAATATAGGTATGTCTGTGGGTTTATTGGCAGGCAACTCATCTTGAGGTATATCAGAAAATTCTTCGATATCACCTAGGCCGGATTCACAGAGCTTGGTTATGATCTTGGAGTGGTCAAAAATATAATGGTATTCTCTTTTTCCATTATATTGTAAACATGTTTTGTTAATATCAATTTGTGAAAACTTCTTACCAAGAATTGCACTAGTAAATAGTTTTTCTTCATTGCTTCCACACCATTCAAGATATGTTTGATATAAATATGTACAGTTTGGTTTTTCAATTTTATCATTGCTCCACGAGAAAATATAATTGATTATGAATCGAATGAGATTAGGCAGTTGATCTCGCATTGTTTCTACTCTCATTTTTGTATTAGGGATGTTTTGTAGTATCCAATTTGAGAGGTCTCGCTTTAATAAATAATTCATAAAAATGCCAGGTATATTTCGATTATCTAAAATTTTTCCAAGACGTTTAAAATATTCCATATTTCCTTTACAGCAAGGTGATACATCCAGACATACTATACAGCCATCGCCCATTTCAATGCGAAGTAGCGTATCATGATTATTTAAAACCATATAGCCAGCAAAGTCTTTAATTGTTTTAGACTCAAGACCTTTACACTCTATTGTCACATATGGTTCGGTAATAAGCGATTTTAAGTGATCATTGGCCTTATGCCATTCCCCAGAAGCCATTCCAGTTTCATTTAAAAGAATAAGTTTTCGTGCTTGTATATAACTATTAAATCTTCCTAATACTTTCTCGAGATCTGAAGTTGCGAAGAATAATTCTGACCCCAATACTTCCTTTCCAATAAAATCTGTTAATATATTTTTTCCAGAACGCGGAGGAGAACGTAATACTAAAACAGTACCAGGTTTTTTATCAGAGTATTGTACAAGGTATGAAAACCAATTGAGAACATATTCCGAAAGAACTTTATCGCCATTACACCAAACATTTTCTA